CAGAAATCTGAAAGCCATCTTTGGATTATTTCTTTCTCTCACTCTCCACATATATTTTCTTTGGAATTCCTGGTAATTTCAGGTTAAACACACATCTTGAATCCAATTACATTTTCCCATTTCTCCTGCCATCACCTGGTCCAGGTTTTGTCTACCTTGGGGCAATTTACATTAGGGGTTGGATAAATCCTTGTGGTGGGGACCTCTCATGTGCAATTTGTAAGATGTTTTGCAGAATCCCTGGCCTCTCCCACTAGATGCCAGCAGCACCGGCCCCCACCCCCAGCCCCAGTCATGACCACCAAAAATGTCTCCAGACATTGCCAAGTGTCCCTGGAGGACTGAGGACCACTAACTTAATCTAAGTCCTCACTATTTCTTGACTGAAACTACAACAATAGTCTTCTGCCTGGACTTCTTGCTTCAAGTTTTATTCCTATTTTTATTTTGTTGTCCACAAAAACAAACAGCAAATGAAAATAAGGTTACAGTATCCTTCTGTCTAAAATGCCTTAATGGTTTCCTTAATGGTTTCCTAGTGAACTTGGAAAAAAAAGTTTAAGGAAAACTATCACATTTTTCAAAGGCTTTGTGTGATCTGGCCTCTGCAAATTCACCAGTCTCATTTTATATTACCTTCCCCTTTGCTTCAGCCACGTAAGATTTCTTTCAGCTCCTTGAATCAGTTGACTTTTCTACCAACATGCTCTTCCCTCTGCCAATAAAGCTGCTGCCTCCCTCACAACACACCCACCATAGACACACCATACACACACCATACACACACCACACACACCACACACACACCACACACACCACACACACACCACACACACACCACACACACACCACAGACACCACACACACCATACCACGCACACTGCACACACCACGCACACCACACACACACCACGCACACCACACACACACCACGCACACCACACACACACCATACACACACCACACACACCACACACACACCACGCACACCACGCACACCACACACACACACCACACACACCACGCACACCACACAAACCATACACACCACACACACCGCACACACCACA